AATAAATAAAATCATCGATAAATCTTACATAATAATTACAACAAATAAATATTATTATTATTTTCAATTGAAAATTTAACTTAAAAAAAAAAAAAAAAACAGATTCTTATTTTTTATTTTGTACATAAAAATTCATTAAAAAAAAGTAATAATAATAATAATGACTATGTATGAGTACATAAATTTCAAAAAAAAAATCAATCACATTTTAAATGAGTTTTTTTTTTTTTTTAATACAACGCTATCACAATAGATAATAATTATTTTAATAATAATAATAATAATAATAATAATAATAATGATGATGATAAAATTTCGTTTCGGTTTATTATTTTCCATTTTTAAAATGATTGGCACTAAAAATGAACGTGACGACGCCATTTTGAAAAAGGCGCGCCGGTATAATTCACATATATAAATAAATTACATAAAAATAATCAGATGAGTTCGTTACATAAATAATAATAATAATAATTTTTATTTATTTATTTATTTATTTAATTTTTGTTTTGCAAAAAAAAAGAAAAAAAAATGACAAACCTTGATTGTTTAAACAATAAATAAAAATAAAAAGTTTTGCAATGAAAAAACAGAAAACAAATGACGGACGATTTTAATAATTTATTGTTTTTCATCATTTTTCTTTTTTTTCAATTATTATTATCATCATTATTATTATTATTATTTTAAAGTTCAAAAATGATTTTTTTTTTTTTTAAATGTTTCGTATTTTTAAATAATAATAATAACCTTTAACCTCACGAAATGTACCTGTAAATCAACGAGGATGGATACCTTGACACGTTAATCTAATGTTATTACCTATCCCGATCATTTTTAATAATAATAATAATAATAAATTGGGATTTTACGGTGTGATTGAACAGGTAAAGGTGAGTGACGGTAAATATTCAATTTGAATAATGATTATGTCAAGATATAAAATGTCCAAATGTTACAAAAGTAAATAAGAACGTTAAAAGGGTTCAGGGTATCTCGAAATATTAATGATGATGATAATAATAATAATAATAATAATAATCATTGCAATGATCTAAATGAAAGTTTTTTCAATCTGTCCGAAAACCGTGACCGTTCATTTTTTTCTTTTTTTACTACTATGTTTAACTTACGGTCCGACATTTTTCACTTCTTAACTTCAACCTTGCTTTGTATATATATATATATATTTATTTATTTATTTAATGTTACAAAAAAAAAAAAAAAATTATTAATGTAACTTTCACAGGTTTTTTTTTAAGTTACATGGACATTACGCACATAACACGCAACACGACAAACAGACAGACAAACAAACAAACAAACAAAGAATTTATAAAAAAAATTTTTTTTTTAAGAGAGAAAATGATTGCGCGGGTATTATTAATAAAAAAAAAAAAAAAATTCGAATTAATTTTTAAAAAAATTTTACGTTTTCGTGGCAAAAGATTAATCGATGTTAATGTCTCTATATTAATATTCTCGTAACGTGTACGCGTGGTATTAGAATTTAATTAATGTGTCAGGTTTGAACCACGATTAATTCACTCACGATCGTGACACGGTCTAATTCGTTTTTCTTTTATGCCCTTAAATTTAAACGTTTACGTCAACGTTCGACTATTAATAAATTTATTGATGTATACATATAAATAATACTTAACTTATATAATTACGTAACTACAATAATAATAATAATAATAATATAAAAAAATTAATTTTCTTTCCCCCCCTCCCCAATCGTGATAGTTATTTTTAAAAAAATTTTTAAAACGTGAAATTTTAATTAAGACATAAAAATTATTAATATTCTTAATAATAATAATAATAATAATAATAATAATAATAATAATAATAATAATAATAATAATAATAATGATAAGAAAATTAATTAATTAAAATTTACATAAATATATATGTATGTATACTTAATTTTTTTTTGTCTCGTTTTGGGTTAGTAAAAAATGTCGGAACCCCCCCCTTAAAAAGGTAAATTTAAATAAATAAATAAATAAAATCATCGATAAATCTTACATAATAATTACAACAAATAAATATTATTATTATTTTCACTTGAAAAAAAACAGAATTCTTATTTTTTATTTTGTACATAAAAATTCATTAAAAAAAAAAAGTAATAATAATAATAATAATAATAATAATAATAATAATAATAATGACTATGTATGAGTACATTAATTTCAAAAAAAAAATCAATCACATTTTAAATGAGTTTTTTTTTTTTTTTTTAATACAACGTTATCACAATAAATAATAATTATTTTAATAATAATAATAATAATAATTTATATCACGTTGAAAAAAAAAAGAAAAATAATAACAATAATAATAATTTATGGTGCATGAATAAATAAATTTCATTAATTAATTAATTTCACAAACGAAAATGATTTTATAATTTAATTTAAATTTTTTTTTTTTTACGTGCTTCGTTCGTTTAAATTATTAATTATTATTAAATTATTAATTATTATTGCTATTTTATATATTTTTATTGGAAATTATTCTGAAAATTTTTTTATCACTCATCGGTTTAATACTTTTTTGTTTTTTTTTTTTTTTTCAATTTGAAAATAATAATTTGGCTATAAAATTTGTTGTTGTAATTTTTTAAATAATAAAATCCTTTTACATTTATTTATTTTTTCTTATTTTTTTTCCCCGAAGGCGCCGGCAACGGTTCTCCCTTTAATTCCGCCAATTGCTTTTTCAAATCCAGTAAAACGTTTACTTCCGGCTGCCATTGTGATTTATCCGCTCCGGATTCTTTTAATTTTCTAACATGGTCGCCCTCGAGAACATAATTTAAATTTAATTTAGAGAAACAATATTTTTATGGAATTCTTTCGAATCGAGTGACGTCAGTTATCAAATACAAAATTATTCACTTACCTGTTTTTTAACCTTTTCTTCCATTTCGGTTATGCTTTTTTGATTAGGAGTTACAGGATTCGTAGCCGAATTGTTTTGATTGTTGGCCTGCGCTTCCGCCAATTTTTTTTTTAAATCTAATAATATTGTCACTTCTGGTCCCCATTCGGCTTTAGTTTTACCCGCCGCTTTCATTTTCCTCACGACGTCTCCCTAATAAATAAAAAATATGATTTGCAGTAATTACGTTATATTATTATTACTTACGTTAAATTTTAATTACCTGTGCGACAACAGCTGCTTCTAATGACGACACATCATTTCCAATATGGCCCCCCGTTTTCTTCCCGTCATCTCCCCCCTTACCGTGAGAATTTGCACTTTGAACTCCTGCGTATTTAGCTTTTAATTTATTTATCAAATCGTCTTCAATTTTATTAAATAATGGGAAGGGCTACAAAAAAAAAATGCAAATAATCATTCATCAGATGATTCGAAATAAATAAATTTATAAAGAGAAAATTTTTTTTTTAAAACTACCTTTCCTATTTTGTGACCC